TTTTTTTGAGACAAGATCCCACTATGTAGCTGCCCCCTGGCTTGGAACTCTCAGCGATCTTCCTGCCTCAGCTCCCCAGTGCTGGGATTATAGATGTTTACCACCACACCAGGCTTTCTTGGGGTTATTTCAAAGTGCCTGTCTGGCCAAGAGAAAGGGGATGGAGAGAAAGGCCTTAGGTCCACTAATGCATTCCTCTGTGGGTGGCTGAGCTCAGCTCTTGGTGCAGTATGGAATCAATCCTGTCTTCCTCAATGGCATAAGATATATAGATAATACTAAATAAAGGGACACTGATTCTAGGACTTATGAATGGCTTGAGAGCCAGTACACATTACAGAACCACCATCTGTGAACAGCACAGATTTGTCTACGCAAAAGGTGACTGCTGTAGTATACAGGCAGGGGACTGGCATGTGAGGGTGGATCTGGGAGACAAGGTAAAGTTCCGGGATACTCGGGTCTAGGGGGCAGCTAAGGCTCCAAGTGGAGAAAGCACTCACAGTCCTGCAAATGTCTCTCAAGCAGAGAGTTAATAAATGCATAAAGAAAGAGAAGACAACTTCCTTGGGCTAATGAAGTGAGGTCCGATCAATACCAGGGCAAGGGGTGGGGAGGAGGGAGGGATTGGGGCTGGATATAAACTGGGCACATTACTCTAGAGCTCTACCCAGAATCTCTTCAACACTACCACACAGAGAGCGATAGCCCCTTCGTTTAACTCTTCTTTACGTACATCATGTAAAGTACACCACTTCATATCATCTCTATTCTGTACACCAAGATGTTTCCTGCCACTCTCTTCCTGACTCATTAGTCACTTGTATGCCCTTAGATTTTATGGAAGAACTCCTGAAACCTGCCTGCTCTAAAGCACATTAAGAAGCTCCCATACTTTGCCAATCCGGTCTCAATTTTTTAAAGACTACTCTGTGCCCAAAGAAGGAACTGAGGTTATGGGTAACAGTGACAGCTGCAGCCTGAGGAGAGGATACTGGAGGG